CACGCCGCTAGAGCACGATTTCTGTTCTCATCCTGAAGCAAAGTTCTTAACCTGAAGCACTATTTCTGGGTTAGCGGAGTCTGTAACCTGAAGCGTCTGTAACCCGAACCGTCTGTAACCCGAGGTACCACTGTTTGTGGATTGCAGTCCCTGCCTTTCCTCCGAGGCGCCCCCCCCTCCACCAATAATCTATTGACAATAACTGCTTCTTATGGACATATAGTAACTTTGCTTAGCTTACCTCAAAGGACTGTTGCAAATATAAAAGGGGGGAGGAAGGGGGAAACATACATGACCTTGAGCACCTAGACAGAAAAGCAAGATACAAATATATGTCACACAGCACAAAGTTAAACTCCTGCCCATTGTAGGTATCCCTCCAAGTCCCACCCCCACAACCCGAAGCAAGCACTAGAATGAATGATTGGGGGGTGATGGTGGTGTACTGCTGTGGTTATAAAGCTTTAGTAGTGGACTAGAGCAGGGCTTTCCAAACTTGGGTCTCCAGCTGTTTTTGGACTACACTTCCCATCATCCCTGACCACTGGTCCTGCTAGCTAGGGATGATGGGAGTTGTAGTCCAAACACAGCTGAAGACCCAAGTTTGGAAAGCCCTGGTCTAGAGGCTTGCAGCCAAAGGTTTGTCTAGTCATTTCAAATCAACATGTGAACGTTAGCCTTGTGAGTTACTTAGGGTAGCCATCTTTCAAAGCGTAAAAACCAGCACACCCAAAAAGTTGTTGAGCCAAAACACCACAATTTTCGATTGGCAATGCGCAGCCTTTCAGAAATTCTCCCTGGATGTTAATTCCGCCTTTGAAATCCCAGGAAAATCTGAACGGATGGCAGCCCTACAATTACTCCTCTTCCCTGTCCACACACACTCCCTTCTCCCTCCCTTCCCTCCATGTTTCCTGGCCTTTTCTTCTCTGGCAGCATATACACACTGCAAGCACACCTCGTTTTATTGTGCTTCACAGATATGGCTTCTCACAAGGACGTGGGTGCCAGCAGGGGAAGGAAGTCCGCCACCAATGCTCTTCTGTCCAAGGGAGTGGAGCTGGCTAGGGCTGGGGCTGGTTTTCCCCCCTCCCTCCCCAGCAGCCAAGGGGGCCTGGCTTAATAGACCACAGTATAGTGTAAACATAACTTTTGCATGCACTGGAAAACCCCCCAAACTATGATGTGACTCGATTTATTGCGATATTCGCTTTATTGAAACCACCTGGAACCAAACCAAGGCATGCCAATATACATTTAAAGTAGATTAAAAGCACATGACTTCCCCCCAAGAATCCCGGGACATGTAGTTTACCCCAACAGAGTCACAATTCCCAGCACCCTTAACAAACTACAGTTCCCATGATTCTTTGGGGGAAGTTGTGTTTGCTTTAAGTCTATGGTGTGTACTTGAATTAGAGTCCAACAAAATCTGAAGGGCCACAGGTTCCCCACCACTGAGCTAGACCCTTCTGACTTCCTAGGAGGAAAGCGAAAACCATTATGCCCCCCCTCAGCCCTATGTGGCAGCCAGATTTCTTAGTGTGTTACAATATAAATTCTTTACCCATTTTTTTTTTGCGGGGTTAAGCCCTTACCTGGAGGCAAGCCCCATTGAACACAACAGGACCTATTTATGAGTAAACATGCTCATAATTCACCATTCCCAATCTATGGGATCATTTTGGTGTACAGTGGTACCTCAGGTTAAGTATTTAATTCGTTCCGGAGGTCCGTTCTTAACCTGAAACTGTTCTTAACCTGAAGCACCACTTTAGCTAATGGGGCCTCCTGCTGCCGCTGCACCGCTGGAGCACGATTTCTGTTCTGATCCTGAAGCAAAGTTCTTAACCCGAGGTAATATTTCTGGGTTAGCGGAGTGTGTAACCTGAAGCATATGTAACCTGAGGTACCACTGTATTGGGATCAGCTCTACCCAGAGCATTTAAAGCCAGCAGTGTCTCTTATCTCTGTAATGAGCCTGGTCATTATGAGCTGCTGATGAGTTCTCTGCTTTAGTGGTTGCAACAAGCATGAACCAACTATGATTCTGCAATATTCATTTTGAGGACTGTGATGGTCTATCTTGCATCCTGCATTTTGCTTTGTTAAAAATCCCAACAAAATTCTAAAGAAATGGGCTTTTTTTTGTACATAGGTGGCCTCCTCATGCCAAGCCAAGGCCTTTAGTCCATCTAAGCTCGGTTTGGCCTGCAGCAGAATTCTACCACAGCTGCGCTGGCTGGAGCTGAAGGCCAAAACATCTGGAGGGCGGCAGGTTGGGGAAGGCTGGTCCACGTCAATTGGCAGTGGCTCTCCAGCATATCAGGCAAGGGTCTTTCCCCCATGAGATGCTGGGGATTGAACCCGGGACCTTAACTCGGGACCAGAACTCAGTGGCAGAACATCTCCTTTGCATGCAAAAGGTCTCAGATGCAATCCACAGCATCTCCAGCTAGGGCTTGGGACATGGTCAGAAGGACCAAGAAATTGGGATAAGGCAACTTCCACTGTTCCTAAGATCCATATGCTCTACCACTGAGCTACAGCCTTTCCCCACATACATTTTGAGAATCGCTATTCCTAAGCTGGCGATCAGGAATGCTGGATTGTTCTGGGGAAGGTGTCAGAAAGGCCCAGAGCAAGGAAGGCAGGAAAGCCACCTGACCCTTTAAAAGAAAACTTGGTGAGATCATGACCATGAAGTGGATTGATTGGGCAAGTGCTTGGGAGCCCACACCCTGGGAGTGTGCGCCTCTGACACCTGCCCTGGGTTCCTCTTGAAAAAAACAAAGTCTGGCACTTCAGGAAATTCCAGGAAATTAACAGGGCAGCTCTCAGACCCAGATGCCCAGTGGTGATGGCAGCCCTGCTGCAGCCACTACCTGAGGGAGGAGGCCCAGAAATGTAGGACAGGTCCTGCCAGAAGGCACTTTACTGAGGGCCCCTCAGACATGGTAGACACCAGGGTGTCTGGCTTCTTCACATTAGCTCTGAGATAGCTCAGTTGGTAGAGCATGAGACTCTTAATCTCAGGGTTGTTGGTTTTAGTTTCACCTTGGGCAAAACATTCCTGCATTGCAGGGGGTTGGACTAGATGACCTGTGTGGTCCCTTCCACCTCTATGATTCTATGGCTCTTGGAAGAAGCAAGGCTACACTGGTTGGAATGAAAACCCATGAACTGTGAGCTAGAGAATTATGATGGAATGGAGAGAACTATAAATCTGGCTTGCGTCATGTCAGAAGGCCTAATGGGCTAGCTAGGGTATGGGTGGTGGAGATTTCATAACCCAGATTTTTTTTTGGGGGGAGAGTAAGGAGCATATGTAGGGATGCGGGTGGCGCTGGGGTCTAAACCACTGAGACTCTTGGGCTTGCCAATCAGAAGGTCGGCGGTTCGAATCCCTGCAACGGGGTAAGCTCCCGTTGCTCGGTCCCAGCTCCTGCCTACCTAGCAGTTTGAAAGCACACCAAAAAGTGCAAGTAGATAAATAGGTACCGCTCCGGCGGGAAGGTAAACGGCATTTTCGTGCACTGCTCTGGTTTCGGTGTTCCGTTGTGCCAGAAGTGGCTTAGTCATGCTGGCCACATGACCTGGAAAAACTGTCTGCGGACAAATGCCAGCTCCCTCGGCCTGTAAAGTGAGATGAGCGCCACAACCCCAGAGTTGTCTGTCAGGGGTCCTTTATGTTTACCTTTAAGGAGAATATGTAGGTGGAAGTAAGCATTTCCGGTAGAAGAGGTTTCAAATTATTTCCAGGAAATCTGGAGCTCCTTAGAAACTTACTGTGAGTTTTTTATTGAGACCAATAATGGTGGACCAGCTGCCTGAAGGATATATTGTGGGCATATTCTAGGGCACCAGGAATAGTGTTATTCAGGGTCATTGTGGGAGTATTCTTGGGCACCCTCTCAGTCCTTGTACGTAATAGGTAAGCCCAGCAGACCTGGGTGACACCCTACACAAACAGAATACTGCCCCAGAATCTTCTGCAGTGTTCTGGGATTTGAGGGCAGTCATGAAGAGGTTCATCATCAGAGTACGAAAGCTAGAAGAGGGTCGTTAGAAGGCCTCTAAGGGTTGTCATGTAGAGTGGAAGTTTAAAATTTGGCAGGTGCCTGCTGAAATCTTTTCTATTTCATTGGCGCTATCCAGTCACCTAATTTGGTTCTTAAATTTGTTTTAGATGTTTTGTTCTGTCATTTTTAAAAGCTTCCAACTGTCTTTAAATGCCTTTGATATGTTTTTATTTTGTTTTTAACTGTAATTTTTTAAATCACAGAAATATTTGTTGCCCTGAGTCATCCTTTGGGAGAATGGACGGGATATGGATTTATTTTTATGCTTAAAAAATCTACTGGGTCAGAGCAAAAGCAGAGAACTACTTTTGTCCTGTGGGCTGGATTAAAAAGGTGTCCAACCCTCCATGGGTTCACTTTTGATAGGCAGGCAAGTAGAACCAATCCCCACCCCCCAAAGCAGCAGGGCTTGCATCTTGCACCAAAAGCAAGCCCCAATGCCCTTGTGCCCTGCTGGTTGCTCCTTGGCAGCTGTGGCTTTGCCTATCCTACACCTGATGCTATATGGTAGAAGGTAGGTGGCCAGATAACATCATATGAGTGACAGATGGGCGTGGCTGGCCAAAAACAGCTTCTGCAGGCTAGATTGGCAGGCCTAGTTTAGCCCGCAGGCTGGAGGTTCCTCACTCCTGAGTTAGAAAGTGAAGGGTCTTGTAGCAAAGACCCCTTGGATTCTTTGGGAGGTTTCAGTGAGTTAGGGTGGTGCTTAGAGCCAGCTGCCATGTTCTCTTGGTGAAAATAAACATATTGTGGTTAAAGAGGAAGAATATGGGAGCCAGTAACTATTGGGGCCTCTGAGAACCCATTGGTTTGACTAGGAAAAGCTCAAATTTAATGTGAGTATAGCTTTTGGGCGGGGTGTGTGATTTGTGTGAATATCTGGTTTCTCTGGCTGATTGTTATCAATTCCTCCTCCAGGTCCTTGCGCTGCATTTGGCCAGTGGCTCCCCCTGTCACCTAGGATGAGTAACTGCAGCAGCCGCGCCCTGACCCTGCTGTCTAGTGTTTTCGGAGCGTGTGGACTGCTCCTGGTGGGCATCGCCGTCAGTACTGACTACTGGCTGTTCATGGAGGAAGGGATTGTGTTTCCGCAGAACCAGACCACCGAGATAGTCATGGCACTGCACGCTGGGCTCTGGAGGGTCTGTTTCTTTGCCGGTAAGAGCCTTGAAAAGTCAAGTTTCCCCTCTCACACCTGGGGACTCCAGTTACAGATGATGATGTCACTAGGCCAAATCTAAACTGCTTCGTTAGGCTTGCATGGCTTCCTCTGCTTCCATAATTTGTGTTTTCATCTAATTGAGGAAAGTGATCATGAGAGGGGAGTGAGTTGTAAGGCCATGCATTGGGGCTTTAAAAACAACACACATCTGGGTTTTGCTCTGTTTTCCTGCAAGTCTACATGTACTTGCAGCTGAACTCTTGCAAAGCTTAGGTTGCTGGACACAATCTGACTGCTGGTTGTTAACAGAAGAGCAAAACCCTTCCAAGGAGCTGTGGTGTGACACAGCAGCTCAGCTTTCAAAAAGGTTCGTTGAACAGCCATCATTCAGGAACCTCGTTCCTGAAACAAATGTTTGAGATCAAACTGCCCACGGAATCTTAATCTACCACTCAAGATACAGTGGCATCAATACTGGCAGCGTGTACCTCAAAATGTGGAAGAATTCTGTAGGTTCAGAACTGCCTTCAGAGTGAGGGTTTAGCCTACTTCCTTTAGTTAAAGGAATTAAAACCACAAGACCTGAATCCTGTACAGTGGTACCTCAGGTTAAGAACTCAATTTGTTCCGGAGGTCCGTTCTTAACCTGAAACTGTTCTTAACCTGAAGCACCACTTTAGCTAATGGAGCCTCCTGCTGCCACTGTGCCACCACTGCGCGATTTCTGTTCTCATCCTGAAGCAAAGTTCTTAACCCGAGGTACTATTTCTGGATTAGCGGCGTCTGTAACCTGAAGCGTACATAACCTGAAGTACCACTGTACTTTGGTTGGTTACTTCGAATTATAATGTGTGTTTCATCACTCACCCACACAGCTGCAATATACATTCTTGGCCGCCTTTTTCTATAATCCCCCCCATCCTACCTGTTCACCTCTGAAACTTCCTTCTGTGGTCACTTTCCCCATGCAAGAGCATACATGTATCTGCTGCCTGTAGGCCCTGTGTGAACTTCTCTAGCTCTCATTTCCCCATTCCTCAAATCCCTAATGCAAATGTCCTGCCTCTTCTTCAACCAGTGCTTCTTCATGAAGCGTGTGGTTAAACTATGGAACTCGCTCCCACAAATGAAATAAATAATAATAATAATACCACCTTGCTGCTGCTGCTTGCTCTATCTAGTACAGTGGTGCCTCGCAAGACGAAATTAATTCATTCCGCGATTTTTGTCGTCTTGCGATTTTTTTCGTCTTGCGAAGCACGGTGTCGGAAAAGTTTTGGAAAAGCTTCAAAAATCACCAAAGTCTTCAAAAACCTCAAAAAAGGCTACCACACCGCGTGCTATGAGTTGCTCCTCGAAGTCAAGTCGCAACTGTATTAACGGTGTTAAGAAAAAGGAAACAAACTTGCAAGACGTTTCCGTCTTGCGAAGCAAGCCCATAGGGAAAATCATCTTGCGAAGCAGCTCAAAAAACAAAAAACCCTTTCGTCTTGCAGGTTTTCCGTCTTGCGAGGCATTCGTCTTGCGAGGTACCACTGTATGTGCAGCTCTACCATTGGGCAGAGTGAGGCAGCTGACTAAAGCTTCAGGTGCCTTGGAGGTAGCCACGATGGCAAGTTGTGTGTGCCACATGGCCAGCCTCACATTCCCTAAGCTAGTCAGCTGCCCTCTTGTGTGGTAGAAGATAACTTTCTCAACTTGAAGCAAGAGTCAACAGCTCAGGAGGTTTCTATAGATGGAATATTGGGGAGGGGAGCAGATCACCTCAGGCAGCAAAATGTCCTGGGGCAGCCTTGCTTCCCAGCCCCTGCTTTGCTACCCACTCAAATAAAACCTGCAGTGTGGCAGCACTGGCATGCATCAAGTCAGCAGAGCAGCATACGCCCTCATGCTCTGCCCGCTGAAATATGCAGCCTGAGTTGAGTTGTGTGCTGTTAGTGGCTCGTTGCCACAGTGGCTATGTTCCCTACCAGAGGCAGCATGCTTCTCAATATCTGTTGCTGGAGGAATCACAAGCGGGCTCTTGTGCTCAGGTCCTATTTGTGGGTTTTCCTCAGGCATCTGGTAAGAACAGCATGTTGGACTAGATGGGCCCTGTGCTCTGGTGCTCATTTGGTGCAAGACCTTTCGCACCAGTGCTATCCATGGCACATTGGAAGAAGCTGAATGGGTGAGAGGTGCAGGTAACCAGACCCTCCTCAAACCAGACTGGCAACAAGGAAACACCACTGTTGCTGGGGCTTCAGCTCCAGAGGATAGGAATGGCCATAGGGGATTGCCACTGCCTCCCGCTCCTCACAACATCTACCATCCGAGGCACCTGCCTCACTCTGCCTAATAGTAGGGCTGGCCCTGCTGGTCCTCTCACTTGGCCAGACCTACCTCAGTGACATATAGTCCTTTCCACCCCTTGGACCTGTATGAGGTTCCCACCTGATCTAACCTTTGGCCCCTTCCCAGAAGCTTTTGACACCATGAATGTGATGTGTTTTTTTCTTCTTCTGCAGGTCAGAAAAAGGGCAGCTGTGTTGCTTCTGAGTACTTCCTAGAGCCCAGGCCTGACCCTGACCCTGAAGGCCCCCTCGTAACAGAGAACACAGAAAACATACTTAGTAAGTCGATACGCTTCTGTTTGGGCATTGAGAAAAATAAAGCTAAGAGGGGCTCTCTGAAGGTTGAACTCAGTCACATCTACACATTTAAAGCATATTTATACCACTGCAACACTCAGGGCTTCCCCCAAAGAACCCCGAGAACTGTAGTTTCTACTACAGAGCTATAATTCCCAGCACCCTTAGCAAACTATAGTTCCCAGGATTCCTTCGGGGAAGCCATGTGCTTTAAATGTATGGTGTGGCTATGAACCTAGACATGATGTTAAGCCCACTTGTAGCAATAGGATGAATGGCTTACTTCAACTAAATAACAGGCATGAAGGCCCTGCTCCAGACCAGGGTCCCAGCTGGTGGGGAAATGGTTAAATCCCCAGGGCCGGCCCACCCATGAACCAAGGTGGGGTGACTGCCTTGGGGAGAAGGGAGAGTGAATGCCTACCCCTCGCCTTTGGCCTTTGTTTCTTCCCATCCCATCCCACCCACCACATCTATGACTCCCCATGCACATTTCACAGATTAAAATAGCGGTTCTCAACCTGTGGGTCCTCATATGTTGTTGGACTACAACTCCCATCATCCCTGGCCACTGGTCATGCTGGCTAGGCATGATAGGAGTTGTAGTCCAACAACATCTGGAGTCCCACAGGTTGAGAAACACTGGATTAAAATGAGAACTGTTTGTTTGGCCACCCACACCCACACACCCCTCCACAATGGCGCAGGGTTGTAGGCACCCTTCACCTGACTTTATCTTGTATACAGGAGTTGCCAGCATGGTGCCTGAGGGTGCTCACAGAGGCCTCCTCTGGTGGCCCCAGATTCCCCTCCCCTTGCTGAGATTAGATGGGCAAGAAGCATTCGGTTATAGCCAACAGGATAGGTTGTGGCATGTACTTCGTTGCTCTGTGTGTGTTGCCCACAAGAGTTTCTCGGACTTGCACATGGGCCCATGGACTCCAAAAGGTCGGTGCTCCCTGCTGTTCAGCTTGCCCTTGGCTGATTTAAAAGCCAAGAGGGTGGTTGTCCTTTTGAACAAAACAAGCACACGTAATGGCCTGGCCCAATGTGTCAGCAGCAGTTCGGAATACCCCTCGGCAGCCACAGTTTGCGCTCATGTTCAGGCATTTGCCTACATGCACTGCAGAGAGGCTATGCGCCCACCCACCTGCTCAGAGATTTAACTTCTAGCGACATGGAGCAGGATTTGAGCCCTTGAAGAATGACAGGGCCAGCCACTCATGCCAGCGAAAGGTTAACAAGCCGTTCAACTCCAACTCTCCAAAGCGTATGGATTTATATCCCACTGCTCTCTAAGAAAGGATTAGGGCTCCTTGAGGAGCTCAGTCCCTGGGAATTCCAATACAAACCGAACTGATCCACACTTGCCAGACTAAGGTGAGGATCAGACTGTTGCTATCCGCTGGATTTCACCCTCATCCAAATGTTACGGTGGTACAGCTCTTGCCTAAAAAAATGTATCTCAGTGCATTTTAAAGTGCATGGTTTTGACAAGAGAATACATCTATGACTGCCTATTTTGACAGAAAATACATTTAGAAATGTGTATTTGGGGGGCAAAGTCCATTTAGGAATGCTATTTTGACGCAAGGAAGCTGCTAGCAATGCTTCCTGTTCTTGCAGGGGAGCCCACTCGCAGGCCATGAGTGCAACAGCAGTTTTCCCTGCCTGCAATTCGTGGCAACTGGTATTCAGAGGCAAACTGCCCCAGACAATGGAGGCAGAATGTAGCCATAATGGGTAGGAGCCGTTGTCAGTAGTCAGTTTTTGTCTAATCCTCTTTTAAAGCCAGCCACACTGACGGCCATCACTGCATCTTGTGCAAGTGAATCTATTATTATTATTATTATTATTATTATTATTATTATTATTATTACCTGAACTCCAGTCTAAGGAGTATCTGTAGCTATTAGGGCGCCCCCTGGTGGCCCTGTTCCATTGCAATGACTAGTTTTTGAAATGCTGTGGAAGGACACGTAACACAAGCTCTTCTCACACCCCAGTTCAACTCTTTCTTGACTTGCAGGTAAGACTTGCCAGTTTCAGCAGAACTGCCTTCCAAAGGGAGCATTAGCTGCTCACTCCTATGGGAGCCTGCGGAAGGACTACCATAGCTCTTCCCCACAAAAGCTGGCTGGCACTGCCGCAGCTTTCTCCCCTCAAACATCCAACACACTGTGGACGCTCACCGTATTTTTCGCTCTATAAGACGCACCAGACAATAAGACGCACCTAGTTTTTGGAGGAGGAAAACAAGAAAAAAATATTCTGAATCCCAGAAGCCAGAACAGCAAGAGGGATCAATGCGCAGTGAAAGCAGTGATCCCTCTTGCTGTTCTGGCTTCTGGGATAGCTGCGCAGCCTGCATTCGCTCCATAAGACGCACACACATTTCCCCTTACTTTTTAGGAGGGAAAAAGTGAGTCTTATAGAGCAAAAAATACGGTAACTTGGTTTTAAGAGTGAGGACCGAAGGGCACCTTTGCAGCGGAAATCCACTTATCTGTTATTTAAAAACAACAATTAATTAATTAGATTTTTGACCTACCCTTTACCATAAGATCCCAGGCCTAGTTACAACAATGAAATATCCCCGTGGTTCCCAAACTACCTGCCCTCACAGACCACTTGAAAATTGCAGTCTTGGCAGCCCACCTCATGGTTTTTCTACCTGCTGTGGCAATTCTAATGTGCTAGAAGCTATTCTTTAATTGTATTTCTATTGCGTCTTTTATTTCTTACATTGCATTGTATTATAATCTGAAGTCTGTGATTTGAATTCTGTATGAACCTGAATAAAGCTGGTGGTCTATGGACCACAGATTGGGAAATATCCACTTATTCAACAAGTAGAGCAGTTTGGATTTTGCTTACCTGCAGCTTGGACAACCAAGACAGAGACAGCCCAAATTGCTCAAGTTTGGTGTAGTTCACCATTCATGCAACAAAACACATATATTTGCTAACTGCTTGGGACTGTCTGTGTGGCACCTGGCATTTCAGGTGGGCTTGACAAAATGCTTCTCCTCCTAGGTCAAACTTTGCCAGTCTAGTGCCCTTCACATGTTTTGGACTACAACTCCCATAAGCCCTAGTCACCACAGCTTGGGGGCTGATGGGAGTTGTAGTCCAAAACATCTGAAGAGCACAATGTTGATGAAGGTCTTTGAGGCATAAGTGGCATGGGGGGGGGGCTAGAGGGAGCAGCACTCTCCCTGGTCAAGTAACCCTCCATCCCACTGCCACTGCAGGACCCTTATGGCTACTTAAAGGAAAGGCACTTTCCACAGACCGAATAGCGCTTTTTCTTTATTTCCAGCAGACAGAGAGAGTGAGAGAGCAGTTCGCTGTGGGCTCACGTCTGTCCAATGGTGACAGAACTGGGGTAGGGAAGATTTTTAGCTCCCTCAAAATCAATAGGAGCTAAGCCGACCAGGTGAATAAACCAGGCAGGGCTCCTGAGTGTTTAACAGTTGTGTAAAAGAGGAAATTTCCACAGGTGATCTTGGCACGCCAGTTCCACCTGCTGAAATTCCCTTTTCTGTACAACTGTCGCATTCACAGTACTAGGGATAGAGGAACCTGCCAACTTGGTTTCTCTCCACGTCTTGTTTCACCAGTCGTAAGTTCTGTTCTCCAAATTACTGCTTCAGTTTGCAATGTATGCTTTCAAAGTCTCCATGAAAATTTGTCTGCATTTTAGTGCAAATTTCTTCCAATTCCTGTATGCAATTTTGTGTGATATACACATTATTTAAAGTAGTTTTCCCCAATATAATGCATGTTATATGGTAATATAGGCATTTTAATGCACATTTCCCCCCCCCCAATATACACATTTTTGTACACATTCTTTGGCTGGAGAACCGCACCACAAAATTTGGGAGATGTGTGAATTTTGAAGGATTCTCGGTTCATATATTTTTCTGGAAAGTGCAAATTGGGGAGGTTCACATTGAAATCCTAAGCAAACCTTCTATTTTGGCCACCCTGTTCTGGGAACTTCAGAGAAAAGATGGGAGCATTAGCAGAAAATATTGCATTGCTTCACTTTTAAAAATTTCTTACATGTGGCACAGACCTCTCCCTCTCTCTCTCTCTCTCTCTCTCTCTCTCTCTCTCTCTCTCTCTCACACACACACACACACACACGCACACACACACACCAAATTTGCCCCTTGTGTACTTGCCCCCATTTTCATTTGGGGGAGGGTGGGTGTCACTACTGCTTTAAGCTGAGGAGAGGAGTGGAAGCTACCACCACAGCTCTGCCCTGAAAATATTTAGTTGGCCTCGACAACTGTGCTGTGTGCCTTGGCTATGAAGAACCAACATAGACAATAAAGCTAGAAAACTAACTGTTAAGGCTAACAAGCAGGGCCTTTGTGGTGGGAGCTGGAGAGGCCGGTTACCTGAAAAGGAAACCCTACTTCTAACAATAGCTTGGTTTCAAGGTTGCCAACTTTTCAGCCAGCCCCAGTGCTCTGAACAAGTGAACTGACGTGCAGCAGGCATTAGCAGAGGAGCTACCATTGATCTCCATGCTATGAAAAGCCTCACCTGCTGTTTTCTTGCAAAATCAATCTACTTTCAAAAGGCACAAGAGCACAGCTTGCTTTTCTGGTCAGTTGACAACAATTCTATTCTGATTATGACATAATTTCTCAAGTTTCCCTCCCGGAGTAGCAAATTTATTTCATGCAGTTACTAAACACTTAATCTTGAAAACAGAACTGAGATAATTGTGTGTGTTTGATTCAGAGAGAGAGAGAGAGAGAGAGAGAGAGAGAGAGAGAATATCATTGCCCCCTGCTGGACAAAAGAAGGAATAGTTAGGTTCTTATAATCTCAACTGGAAAAATATTTTGAATTTCCAGAGCAGCAGCAAGAAGATTTCTGCAGCTCGTCATTAAGGGTGATGTCACACAAGCAATATCCCATTTCTAGGCTGCAGCCAAATTCACCACCTCCGTACCCCAGTCTTCCCTTCTATGCTTTAACACCTGGCAATCTAAACTGCATGGGATGACATAATCATCGTGCGCTAAGTTTTATTGCCGTTGCCAAGTGAAAGATAATGAGGTGGAACGGGGACGGCATCAGGCTTTATATTTATCTGAACAATTTATTTCCCAAGGTGGCATGCAAGAAACATTAAGCTATGTTTTAAAGAAACCACAGCAAACAGCAGCAACTTATAGAAAGCGTTCAGGATCCTTCCCAGTTTGTGGTAAAATGGTGGCAAGCAGAGAGTTCCGCTGGAGGAGGTCCATGGAGGCTGGTCCATAAGGGTGAACAGGCACTGCCCCACCAACCTCAGTTTGCCCTCAGCCAGGCCCTATCCCACCTACCTGCCTTTTTACAGACAACCAGTCCAGCGGGCAGCTCTGTCTGTCATTCGCTCTGGCGCCACCTACTGTTGGACTCCCTGCCTCCCACCCTACCAGTAGCAATGGGTTCCAGCCACCACTGGAAGCTCTGAGATGGTCTGAGTCCCTCTCTTTTCTTCCCACTGGGCAGTTGATGACCCAGTGAATAGGCAGCTGGAGCAAACTCTGGAGTGATCTTCACCTTACCCCTTCTCTCTCTCCTGGAATCATATAGCATGTTTCCTCTTCCTACATCAGGAATAGGCAATATGGTGCCCTCCAAATGCTGTGGGCTCTTAATTTTGATCAGCTCTGGCCAGCATAGCTCATAACCGGGGATTATGGGAATTTTAGTCCAAAACACCTGGAGAACATAACATTGGCTACCCTAGCCCCTAGGAGGGCTATTTTTTAGTTGCATCTGCCTTAATGCTAACTGGGTGAACACACTTATTAGTTAAAGGTGGGAAGGAGATTGCAGAATGCTTTATACTACATCAGCTGCATAGGGGGATCATTCTTTTCAATGTTCTCCTGCTTTTTATTACTATTTAAAAACCTCTCTGTGAGTAGAAAAAAAGCAGAGTGGATAAGTCTGGAATTTTTCTAGCATATGTATATGTCAGGGAGGGACTGGGCAGATGAAGAGGAATGGTGGAGACAGCCTGCACAGGAGCCTTCCAGGGAGGAGGAAGGGGCCGATAGTATAGACCTAGAAGAGTGGTTCGACACAGGTCACAACCCAGAAGAAGAAGTTGGGAAATAATGGAAGATGAGGAGCAAGAACCAGGTAGCACAGAACAGGCAGAGCCTGAGCAGTGGCTGACTGACATGCTGTCACTGGAGAGTACCCCAGAACCCATTCTGACCCCCCAGACCAGGCGTTCATTGAGAATGGCAGAGAAGAGGGCTCAGAGGTGGGTGGCACTTGACAGCTGCCGTAGAAGGGAGGAGGAGTCTGATGAAAAGGGAAGTACAGAGAAGGGGAGGTGGAGCTTCACTCGAGGCAACGCTGGATAATGAACGGTGTGGATGGAATTTTGTCCTGGTAATTCTAATAATAAAAAGGAACTGAAAAGTTCACTTTTTCTCTGTCTCTCTGCTTTACTGGGCAAGCAGCCAGTAGCCACCAGCAGCACCCTGACAGTATATAGTTTTCTACTTGCAGGGAGTATTTACACGGAGAACTATCTCCTCCCCACAGTCCACTCTACCACCTTTGGCATTCGACACCCTACCACGATCCATTCTTTTGGAGGTGTGGAGGGGACCTAGAAAAAGGTGGAAGAATCATAGAATTGTAGACTTGGAAGGGGCCATGACAGTCATCTAGTCCAACCTCCCAGCAAATGCTGGAATCTTTCACCCAACATGGGACTCAAACCCACCACGCTGGTATTAAGAGTTTTCTGCTCTACAACTGAGCTCTGAGGAAGGGTGTTGCATTTTCAATTCTCCCCTAGCAGAAGAAATCTTCCAACAAGCGCAAACCAACTCAGCGGGGAGCAGGCTAGGCCAGAACCTCCCTAATTATAGTTGTGGTTGTTTCTTTAACTTACAGGGAGGGCTTTACAAATGAAGAAACCGAGGGAGTATTCAAAAATGTGATGCATTCAGCTGAAGTCTGAAATGCTACTGCACATTTACCACCTCAGAATTCAACCTCCTCAGATCTGCGGCATGTGCAGACTAGGCCTCAGTTCCAGCCAAGAGAGGTGTCTTATTGTTTGGTAGTGAACCTTGTAGTTCCAGAAATGGCTAGTAGTAAGCTGCTGTTACACAGAGTGGAGGGCAATCAACTCTGCACATATTCAGTGGCACTCTTAATTTTTTAAATAACTTGACATTTTCCAAAAAGGCTGGAGCCCTTAGCTAGAGTTCTGAGCCATCAAGGTTAGATGCTTTGGTGTTCAGGGTTGCCAAATACAAATGGGGTTCATGCCCTTTTAACAGAAGCAGGAATCACCTTATCAGGAATCACACTTGACATGCAGTTTAAAGAGACTTTTAGAAAGGCAACTTTTGGGTAATTGAATCTCATGTTCTGGAAAACTCAATTTTTGTGTGTGAAAAAGTATATTTCATGTTGTATACCAAAGTCAAATTTATGGGTTTGGGAAGAGGGCCTGACAAATAGGATAGACTAAGGTCGACCTAAGATCATACTCAAAAATGAAAAGAACACTTTGGATCGGTTCCAGAATGTATTGGTGCAAGCATTTATCCAATGGACTGTGTTGTTTTGTCATGTGGGCCATCTGCATGCAAATAAGAATTCACCTGTATGTGGAAATGTTCCATGTGCTTGGGAAACAACTGAGATACAAGGGATTTAGTTTTATCACCCATGCACATTTGTACATCAAAAAGGTGTGTGTGTGTCTAAAGATAAGGACTCTTGAATGTAAGGGCAAAGAGATGTTTTGATACGTGGTGGACATGCATCTAGTGTAGCACTTGTAAGCTTACATTATTATGGCGCATGTATTACGGTTTACATACTTTTGTACGTTTCAATTCAGGCATCTTCAACCTTTGCAGATCCGGGGCCCACTTTACTGAATGTCATAGCAGATGTTTACCTCTGCCCCTGCCTCAGTTCTTTTAATTCTGGGAAGCCACATCTATGGTCCTATAGGAAGAGATGGCAGGTGGCATAGCAGTATGAATTTTTTTGCTCTACCTACTGATCTGAAATAAAATGTCCCTTTAAAGTCAATTTTGGATGTGCACACACATTTAAAGCACAATGCCCCCCCCCAATAATAATCCTAGGAATGGTAGTTTACCCCTCACAGAACTCCAATTTCCAGCACCCTTAACAAACTACAGTTGCCATGCTTTAGTTGTACCATGTGTCTGTAGCCTTTGTACATGTTCAGAGGAACTTTGCACTGTTGCCTCAGGCAGCAAAATGTCTTGAGCCAGCTCTGCCTCAAACATTTCAGTCACACATGTTATCTGCTCCCCTCCTTCTACCCCCCCTTCCATTTAATCAAAGCTCAATCCTGAAATTACTTTGGAGATTTTACTACATTTGTTTGCCACATTCAGATGTGAGTTATTTTATGTGTGGAGTATTCATCTGCGAGTCTGTAAGACCAAATTCTAGAAACAGGGCTATGTTAGGAATCTCAGTTTAAATAAATAGAGTTTGCAGAGAACCAGGCATGATTTTGCATCCAACTCACTGAAACTTGATGTGTGTACTGTGGGGTCATTTCTAAAAGAAAGAGTGCCAGTTTAAGGCCATCTAAAGCCCCAGCCTTTTTACTCCTAAAGGAATGCATGCTGCCTGTGGTTACTCAGGAAGTAGGGGGAATATATCTGTGCATGCTCAGGGGGCTCTCCAAGGAATACAACTGCTTCACATGTCAGAAATCTGAGCATTCAAACCTGGTTCTAGGACTGCGCTTTGGTGAAGAGGATCGACTCAAATTTAACTTAGAAAATCTGACTCTTCTCTTTCTCTCTTTCTCTTGGCAGAGACCATCCGCACAGCCACCCCTTTCCCTATGGTCAGCCTCTTTCTCGTCTTCACAGCATTTGTCATTAGCAACATCGGACATATCCGCCCCCAGAGGACCATCCTGGCTTTCGTTTCAGGAATCTTCTTCATCCTCTCTGGTGAGGTGTGGGGGAATGTTCATCAGAGGGCAATTTACTCCTGGAATCTGTGTGCTAACCATGACATTTGGGATAGCCAAATAAATCCTGTGTGGTAGTCTTCAGAGTGGCGCAGGGATAGGTCATGGCAACTGGGGGACTATAACCCTTATAGTGGGGCGGTGGCTTCTGTTAAGAATTGACAAGCCACAGAGTAGCATTTCACAACCTTGTTCCATGGGGATCTCAACACAGGTGATGGCCCAAGCACAGAGGAGGTCCATAGTCCTAGGCCGATAAGAAGGAAAAGCACAGGCAAGGATCAGCACCTTGGAGAAGGGTCAAGGTGTGGATTTCAGGACCATGGTCAGCGATCATGCAGCTGAGCCAGACTATATACATTACTGAGTCAATGCCCTGAAGCACCTAATAAATAGTTCTTCACAGCCTGGCTTAGCTATTTATTGACTAGCAGCTACACCATATGAATGCTTCATTTGGCCAGTGAGGCCAAAGTTTTTATCCTGCAGCCGTTGGCTTCTTCTTCTAGGCCCTGGGCTTTCAAGCTGTGGGGATCTCTTCACAGGGATCTTCCAATCCTCTGAAATCTGTGGTCCAGCCTTTGGTGTCTGGTGGCAGAGATGACTCCTCAGGGTTCAGGGGAGGAGAGGTAGGCTGTGGCGACTGTAGCTCCACATGAAACTGTGGAGGACTGTGTCTCTGAAGATTCCTAGTCTATTTTGGACCACAACTCCCATCACTTACCAGCTGACATGGCCTGCTATAGAGTTTAGAATGAGCACTCGCCTTTTGCCAAGGAAACCATTGGTCCACCTAGCTCAGGGCCAGGGAGTCTGTGGTCCTCCAGATATTGTTGGATACCCAGCATTGCCAATTAATAGAGATGATGGGAGATGTAGCCCAACAACACCTGGAGGGTCACAGTTTCCCCACCCCTGATCTCACTGGCAGCAGTTACCTAGGATTTCGGACAAGCATCATTCCCAGCCTCACCTGGAGATGCTGGGGATTGAATTTGGCACTTTCTGCTTGAAAAGCAGGTGCTCTGCCCCAGAGCTATCACTCTTCCCTCCAAGACAGCTTCAGCAATGCTCTCTTCAAACACCCTGAAGAAGCACCGACTAGAAAGGAGCTGGAAAAGGTGGGGATATGCCTTCCCTGTTATACCCTTTCTCTGCTCCCCCATCAACACTTACATTTCAGAAGCCAGGGGCAAGGTCCTACCATTATTTTTTCTACACCCCAAATCCAAAGTCCAGCAGTCTCATGCCCCCCCCACTCCAAGAGTCATATTCATAATTTCCTTATTATTCCAAGACTCCCTGACATTCTTTCCATCCATCTTGGTAAAAGCAGAACTGAAAAATTACAGGATTATTACTATTAATCACCTTCTAAACCACCATCTCAAGGCAACTTACGTATAAAATAAAAAAGTTTTTTAAAAAACCATAAAGGGCAAATGCATTTAAAACAAGGCTAAACCCCTAACTTGCAGACACTTGCTATAAAGACTCATTTATACAGCTAGATATTTAGAAACTGGATGCTGGCTTGTACAAATGTGGAGTTTCTCTGTGTCCAGCTTTTCTCCTCTGATGCTTTTGTCTGAGAATTGCTAAAGCACCCACTGTATTTTTGCAAGAGAGGAGTACAGGGAAAAAAAACCCAGAATTGCCTCTGGCTTCACCTCCCATTAGCTTCCCTGCCCACCAGCTCCAGCAGTAAGCAGCCATCACTTCAGAAGGCAGGTGAGCTGGTGTTACTGCTAAGGCCCCGGGGGGGGGGGCACACGACTCCATGGCCAGCATGGGAGAAGGAGAGGAAGCGGAGGAATGGCAGCAAAGCAGGGAGCAAAGAGCTGCATCCTGCCGCATCCACCCTCCGCTTCTGTCACGCTCCAACTCAAGCATGACAGAAGTGCCAGAACACAAGCGAAGCACAAAACGGCCTTTAGATTTACGACAAAAGCCCAGTTTTGTCCACTTCTGCCTCCTCCCTCAGACTAATTTGCTGCCACTGCATTCCCCAGTGTGGGAGGAGGGGGAAGAAGAGGGAAGCGGGCAGGGAAACCATAGGCCCACATCCATACTGGGGTTCAGGGGGAGGACCAGAGGAGGAGGAACAAATGGTGCTGCCTGCCTGTGCATATTTACTAAAACATTAATACAATAAGTAGCAACAAATACAGGTAGCAATAAAGCAGCGGGGCATAGTAGGTAGCCAGCATGATGTAGAGGTTAGAGTGCTGGACCTGGGAGACCAGGGTTCAAATCCCCACCCAGCCATGAAGCTCACTGGGTGACCTTGGGCTGGTCGCTGCCTCTCAGCTTAATCTACCTCCTAGGGTTGTTGTGAGGATAAAGTGGTGAGAGGAAGAACCATGCAAGCCACCTTGAACTCCATGGAAGTAAAGGTGGGGTGTAAATGTAATAATGAAACACAGGGCTGGTACAACATCCCATTTCGTAGGGACGCGGGTGGCACTGTGGGTTAAACTACAGAGCCTAAGACTTGCCGATCAGAAGGTCGGTGGTTTGAATCCCCGTGACGGGGTGAGCTCCCGTTGCTCGGTCCCTGCTCCTGCCCACCTAGCAGTTCAAAAGCACGTCAAAGTGCAAGTAGATAAATAGGTACCGCTCCGGCGGGAAGGTAAACGGCGTTTCCGTGCGCTGCTCTGGTTTGCCAGAAGTGGCTTAGTCATGCTGGCCACATGACCCAGAACCTGTACGCCGGCTCCCTCGGCCAATAAAGCGAGATGAGCGCCACAACCCCAGAGTCGGCCACGAATGGACCTAATGGTCAGGGGTCCCTTTACCTTTACATCCCATTTCACCACTTGAGATGAAATGGGAAGCGCTGCTTTCCCCTGCCCCTGCCACCTCCACCTACCTTCTTCTGCCCTGCACCCAGCTGCATCTGAAGCCACCCGGCACTGATTTTGGGCAAGAGCACACTGATTTTGGGTGAGATTTCACTCCAAATCACATGAGATCTTGTGTGCTCCTCAAGTCCCCCCCCCTTTTCAGGCAAGATCTTGCTCCAAATGGACATGATCTTGCCCAAAATTGGCACCGATGGCAGTAGCGCTTCTCCATCACTGGTGGAGGCAGTGGGGCAGGTGGGGCACCCATGGGTGTGTTACCTGTGGGGTTTCTGTCTCCTGAAGCAGTGGCTTTACCCCACATAATGGCTGGGCCAGTTCTGATAAAATATATAATAAAATAGTAAAAAAAAAAACCCAAAAGCATTCCAAAGCCTAATCAGTTCCACTTAGAGAATAAGTGTGTTTAATCTGTCATTTGGAGGGGTGGAGGACAGAGGGGCTATGGGGGCCAAGGCAATGGGGCCAGGCAAGTGAGGCTGAACAACAATGTTATAGTTCTAATTGCATGGCAAGGGAAGAACGGATCATGGAAGGCAATTATGTCCAGGTTGGTCTTCTTCAGTTCAGATGATATTACGAGTTGGTGAAGAGCAATGGCTGCAAGGCAACCCGAGAAGTAAATCTGCGAGCAGCCAAAAAGGGCAGCACTGGGCCCTTAATGGGAAACAGAAGAAGAGCAGCACATAGGCCTGTCTGCGATGCTGCAGCACAAGCACAGTACGGCACCGTGCTGCACTACTGAGCCAGCTGCATTTTAGCACTCTTTCTCTTTGTCACATGTTACTACGACCAAGAAATGCAATGCAGGGTGAAGCTATGTAGCTGAAGGGGTGCAATTATGTAGATAGGAGCAGGCTTGATTTACAGTAGCTCTCGCTGCCTTCTATATGATATACGGCAATTAATAGCCAGAAATGTGGGCATGCTGTTCACCACCATCACCCAACACATATAGTCTGAAAGGAACCCATAAAGGGGTGATGTGTGTGCATTTGTGTGTGTGTGTGCGCGCGCGCGCACTGCGGCTGGTTGCAGTGGCATCTCTGCTCTGAGCTAAATGTGGAGAGTGAGGTAGATTTGTGGTACAACATAAGAACCAAGGGAGGTACCTTATACTGAGTTTGAGCATTGGTCCATGTAGTTCAATACTGTCTACACCAGGGGTCAGCAACCTTTTTCAGCCGTGGGCCAGTCCACCGTCCCCCAGACCATGTGGGGGGCCGGACTGTATTTTGAGCAAAAAAATAATGAACGAATTCCTATGCCCCACAAATAACCCAAAGGTGCATTTTAAACAAAAGCACACATTCTACTCATGTAAAAACACGCTGATTCCTGGACCATACGTGAGCCAAATTGAGAAGGCGATTGGGCCGCATCCGCACCCGGGCCTTAGGTTGCCTACCCCTGGTCTACACTGACTGGCTGAAGCTCTCCCTGGGTCTCAAACTGAAAATGCTTAGCATTTAGAACTGGGACCTTCTGCACTTGTGAAGCAGGGGCTCTACTACTGGAGCTGTGGCTCCTCCCCACAAGCGAGGCCTTCATGAACAGCTGAAAATAACAGCCTCTTCCTTCCTTCCCACCCCTCTCCCTCTGTGCTCTTTCTGCAGGGCTCTCTCTGGTGGTGGGCTTGGTTCTGTACATCTCCAGCATCAATGATGAAGTGATGAACCGCCCCAGTGGCTCAGAGCAGTACTTCCAATACCGCTACGGATGGTCCTTTGCCTTTGCTGCTTCTTCCTTCTTGCTCAAAGAGGTACACTTCCCAGCATTTATTTATCTATTACATTTTCATCCAAGGAGCTCAAGGTGGTGGACGTGGTTCTCTCCACTCCCATGAGTCCTCACAACAACCCTGTGGTGTAGGTTAGGCTGAGAATGTGTGTGTGGCTGGACCAAGGTCACCCAGTAAGAGTCATGGCTAAGCGGGGATTCGAACCCTGGTCTCCCACGTCAAAGTCCGGCACTCGATAACTGTTACACAACACTAGCTCTCACACTGCACTTGCACATGTGCACACACACACACACACACAGATTCTCCCGACTCCCAATCTTGAATCACAGATTTAAATTTTGGCCAAGGGGTAAAGCAAGTTTTCCTTTGCTGGCCTTACGGGGCTTTTAAAGCCAGAAGGCAGAAAGGGCGGCCACTGTACTATTGTCAATCCATGTCCTCTTTAGGAGTCTAACAAGTGAGACCATCACATCTCCTTCCTCCTACGGAGATTGCTCCTGTTTAGGGTTCTTGTCTGTCAAACCACCTAAGCGGGACAGCCTAGTCTTCCACTCCCTCAAGTTTAAAGTTGTTTTTATACTGGATCAGATTGTTACTATTAATGTTTGCTGTTTTTTTTTATTATTATTCTATGTGTTGGAAGCCACCCAGAGTGGCTGGGGCAACCTAGCCAGATGGGCAGGGTATTATTATTATTATTATTATTATTATTATTATTATTATTATTATGTTCTGTTTCTTCCACTACCCCTCAACTGCCACCAATATACTTTCATTTTATTTTAACTTCCTCAAACCTTGGAGTTTCCCCCAAGCATGATGACCCACCCCCCCACCCCCATTTCGGCTGGAGGTTGGTTTCAGGGGACCATTTCAGTTTTGACTTTTGCTGCAACTTGATTAGGGATTATTAACAGGGAATCAGAGTACTGCATTACTCCTATAAAATATTCCCTCCCAGCTAGGGATGGGCAAACGTATCGGTTTTGGTTTCTCTTTCTCAATTTCTTGATGGTTTCAGTTTTCCAGATCAATATGCAATTACTTTTTAAATTTTTATTTTTAAAAGTCCTCACAAAAGCTGCCAGCATTTTAGCACACATTTCTCAAATATACACACTTGAGCAAGTAGTTCCCCTTAATATAATGCATCTTTGTGTGTTTATTTCAGAAATATATGCACATTTATGCACACTTTCCCTCAAACGTACACATTTTTGTATATAGCTGAAGTCTGCACCACAAAATTCAGAGAGGTGTTAATTTTTGAAGGCTACCTGTCCACATGTTGTTTGGGGAAGTGCAGGTTAGGTAGGTTCCCATCAAAATATGAACTGAACCAAAATTCTCCCCTATATTCAGCATAGTCTCTCAACCTGCAGTAAGGATACAGCAGTGAGCAACACTACAAGAGCCACACTGTTGATTACTAGTCTCTCAAGCCAACCTGAAACACTCGACTAAAAACTAAGGATAACATTGCAGCTGTGTTGCAAGCTACTGCCCCATGTTTGGTCAAACCCCAGGCTGCAGTAAGGTTCTACCTCTGGACAACATCTCTCCACAGCACTGTAGGACTGTTGCAAACCACTTAGAGGTTAAAATGTTCCCTGTCCTCCAGCTTTCTGTGTGAATGTTACTTCAGGGCTGCATTATAGCCAAAGCCTTTCCTAAACAGATATTATATTAGCTCCCAAAACATGAAGGGTTTTAGAGGGTGAATTCTAGATTGGCACATCCCTGACAGGATAGACTCTCTTTTAACAGGATCAACTCGCTTTTAGTCATACCCAGAGGAGGCCCACTGGCATGGCTAACTTAAGTTCTACTTAAAATTAATGGACCTATCTGGATACAACCCAAGTCTCCTTGTCTATGACAAGAATTAAAGAAGGGGCTCCGCAAGATATTTTTTTAAAAAACCTCAAGTCTACTGGTCTACTGGTTTTCCAGCTGGCAATGTGAACCACATTTGCTTTGGAATTTATATTAGCAAAAAAATATCTTTAAATGTTTCACACTGAATAAGAATCGCATTAAAAAGAAGAGGAGCTCTTTCGTCTCTTTGCTGCTACCTTTTGGAGTTTTGCTGTGTGGGTGGGTGGACACAATGATGTCCAGTTCCAGTTGCATTAACATTTTGGATGTTATCCACTTATACCTATGGGCAGCTCTTACTTTCACTTTTCTTTGAGGACATTTAAAAATAAACTCAGTATGAACCAGGAAATTACCTGTCCGGACAAAAATGATGTCCTTTTTATCTCCTTGTGCCTCTTTCTCCATCATCTTTTGGTGCGTTTCTCTCCAGCAAGGAGGGAAACAGAGCAGAGGGTGGTTCTTGCCTTCTTTCACACCTGCCCGAGCAGCAGAGTTTTGAAGCTTCCCTAGTTGTTTCAGCCACATTACCCTCTTCCCTTGCTCCTTTCAGCCAGCCAGACGCACACACCCAAAACACACACACACCTTCAGTTTTTCCTGCCAACTGATTCAGTATTCTGAAGCTACTGGGGGGGGAGGGATTCCCCTTAAGTTCTGTTTGTTTGTTTTCTGTACTTCTACAAATACTGGGCTTTCAAGCATGCTAATACTTCCTTGTAGGGAAGAAAGCAAATGTCTAGATGTTTGGTCCTGGCCTTGAATTGCCCCGATTCAGCCAATTTCAGGCACGGTTGGTTGTCCTCAAAAACCGTGATGGGCAAACAACTCACTCCACAGAGCTCCTGGACCAAACAAGCATAGAACTCCAACTCTCTGCACATTCCTATTGTGCATGGATGATTCTGTTTTGTCCTCATAAAGACTGGCACTCACCCCCCCCCCAAAAAAAAACATTGCTAAGAGAAGAAATGTTGGTGCATAAGCTAGCCCTGACTCTCACAGTAATTCAGCAGCAGCATAAGACATTGGGCCAAACTGGACATGACTATGGCTGGGGGAGATATTTGATTCAGTTTGCATTTAAATGTGACTCCACCTAAATTGCGCTTTCAGAAACAGCAACGGCACCGAAACACAGCCAACCAAAATTCGCACGATTCTGAATTTTGCAGTGCACTTCTCCAGCCAAATAATTTGTACAGGAATGCATTTACTAGGGTAAAGTGTCCATAAAAATGCATATTTTGGTGCAAATAACACACAAAAAAGCATTATATTAGAAAAATTGCTTTGCCAAAACATGTAAATTAGGAGAAAGCCACACTAAAATGTGGATCAATTTTCATGAGGACTTTTTCTTTCTTTCTTTCTTTCTTTCTTTCTTTCTTTCTTTCTTTCTTTCTTAAATGCAAATTGATGAGGAAAAGTGAAGAGAAAATAGAATAAAAGAGAAGATAAAACAGTGAATAAAACCAACCAGGATAGATAAATGAAACCCTCTTATACGAAGGCAGCGTATTTCTATGTTCCAGTTGCTGAGGAGTAGCAACAGGGGATAGATATCACCCTCCTCACCTGCTTGTGAGTTTCCTAGTGGCATCTCCTTGGCAGCTGTTGAAAATTTGATCTGATAATATAAGGCAGTTCTTAAAGTTTAATTGGTGGAGTGGGGGACAGGATATTTCAGTGCTGATTTCACAAGCACACATCCTCCAGGCTTGAAGAAGGCTTTGGCATAGTGCCTCTAGTGCAGTGTTCCCCAACCTTGGGTCTCCAGCTGTTTTTGGACTATAACTCCCATCATCCCTCGCTAGCAAGACCAGTGGTCAAGGATGATGGGAATTGTAGTCCAAAAACAGCTGAAGGCCCAAGGTTGGGGAACACTGCTCTAGTGGACCTCCTTCCAGGCTAGTGGGGCCCCCAATTGGTGCCCGATAATTGCCACTTTAATTTCCCATATTGCTCCCTATCTCTGAGGCACTGTGGAAATTAAAATGGTGGCCATTTGATACCGAACACAGGGGTTCGGAGTTGAAGGATCTTCAATACACGTTGAACAGAAATCATGAAGGACGTTCTTGGGATGTTTGGCATGAGTCAACCATCTATGGACTAGGATGATCATGCCCACTTGCAAAAAGCTGAGTATCATCACAGTGACCAACAGAATGCTTTACGGCCTTAAGTCTACACAAGCTTCAGTGTTACTTGCGCAAGTGCGCATTCCAGAGCATGACTCCTCATGCCCTGAAGGCATCCTTGAGTGGGATGAAACTGGATGCAGTGAGCCACAGGTGAGCTACAACGAGCGACATGAGTTACAGACATAACACATACACACACATTTATTTGTTTATTACACTGTGCCCCACTTTTCATCCAAGGAAGTCAAGGTGGCCTGCATGGTTCTCCCTCTTCCCATATTATCTTCACAGCCTTGTGGTGCTAGGTTAGGCTGAGAGACTGTGGTTGCCCCAAGGCCACCCAATAAGCTTCCCTGCGAGGATTTGCACCCTGGCCTCCCAATACCTAGCCAAGCACTGTAACTGCTATACCACAACATACTGGCACCATAACTTGTGAGACCATATGGTTGCATCTAAGGGGTATGTCTTGTTCTTGATATTTCCCTCTGTAACGGCTCTTTGCAGGGCGCAGGGGTGATGTCTGTCTACCTCTTCACCAAGCGCTACGCTGAGGAGGAAATGTACCGCCCTCACCCAGCCTTCTACCGGCCACGCCTGAGCGACTGCTCCGACTACTCCGGCCAGTTCTTGCACCCCGAAGTGTGGCACCGTGGACGTAGCCCCTCCGACATCTCCAGCGACGTTTCCATCCAGATGACTCAGAACTACCCACCAGCCATCAAGTACCCTGAACATATGCACATATCCACCTCACCTTGCTAGACGCACCAGAGAACGAGCTGGACAAGGAAGTCAGCTTTCGCTTGCAGACTATATCGTTCTACCCCAACCTGCCTAGGAGACTCCCCTACCAGTGTGGGTTGTCTTCCCCTCTCTAAAGACTCTTTACCACCTACTCTGCTAGAAATGTCCTCTCTCTCTCTCTCTCTCTCTCTCTCTCTCTCTCTGGTGGGAACTATTCAACCAACTTTTGAGATTGCCAGTGCCCTCCTCACCACCCCTTCCGCCCTCTTGGAAACTGTCCTTATTTCCTTGCTTCCCTGGGAAACTACCAATTTGAAAAGCCCACCCCTCAAAACTCAAGTCACGCACACACCCTGTTCATTCTCCACAGAGCAGCGGAAAGAAGGGATATATCTCCCAGTTCAGTTCTGCTGCCTCAGAATACTTCTCCTTTCACTCAGGTGGTTGGAAACCTTAGTGGGAAATGACTCGTGAAGCATGTTCCCCTCAACCTTCTCCCTGAAGAGGTTTCGACAGCAAGCAGGTTCAAAACCATCTGCATTTTTCAGATCTTGTGAGAGGAAGATGCCCAGAAGCCATTTTCTCCCATCAATCCAATTCCTGAAAGGAGAGGGCTCATTGCCAACATCTCCCTCTGTCAAAACAACAACGAAGAAACAAAACTAGCTTGACAAGAAGTAATTGCTTTACCATTGTCATCATTCTCTAGTTTCCTGACTATAAACGACATCTCCTTGACATTTTTACCTCCATCCTTCAAAGGCCCTAATTATTCAGGCTTATCCACCTGACAACAGCCATCCTTCCATCCCAGCTTCTTAGGTGATGACAGGAAATACATTAGACTGCCATCTTGGTTCAACCAAAAATGACCAGGTAAAATGTAGTGCTATATTTTCCATTCCCCTTTTCATCGTGCCGATTCGTGACATAGCTCTACAAATACTGCTATGTTTATTTGTCTCAAAACAACTAGCCCTGAGAGGAATACTCTATTCAGTTTATTTCTACCAATATCTCAATCTCAGTCAATCAAATTATAGCATGAAACTGTTCCCTTGCCATTCTTCTGTGCTCTAAATGTCCTCCTCCCTCCCCAACACGCACACACAAACCTGCTCCCTCTGTGCTTCATTCTTGCCTTCTAGGTTCTTACAGGAAATGACTAATCATCATTTTTGTATGCCCACAAATGACCAGCTTGGGCACCAATCCTGTAGGTTTCATTATTCTCTCAGGCACTTCCCCTTGGAACCCAACAGCAAAGTGCTGCACCACCATTTGGGGTTGGCTAAAATAAGACCTTTTCCTGTCAGGAAATGTGCACGCCCCCTCTCCCGTTTCTGTTCTTATTGTTGAAGAAAATTGTCTGACATCTGAATTTTCTTCCAAGATCTCGTACCATTTGCTTTCTTCCTGGCTCCACCTCCTGGCTCTTCCACCACCTTTATTTTTGTCAGCGTTTTAGAGGAGAACCCAATGTATGATCTGAAAAGACCTTTTTTTAAAAAAATGGTGCCCCTACTACAAATGAGACAACTAAAACACAATTGTGGAGGGGTGAGGAAATAACTGTGTCTTCCAGCCAACAATGCCTCAAATATTCCCACCCCATCATTCAGTTGTCCATCAGCAAGGGGCCACGGCCATGTCATCGTGGTGCAAATGGAAACTCTTAAGAACTCCAGAAGACTCTTTTTTAAGCATGTCATGATGATGCCACCTGGGGTTTATGAGGCTAAAGACTCAAGGGGAAAGGAAGAGAGAAAGAGAGAGAGGGAGGGAGAGGGAGAGAGAATTTATTATCCAGCTGTCAATCATTTACCACACTAGGGAGTAAAGTTTGAACCCCTGTTTCCTTGCCTTTCCTATTTTTCTCACTCATGGTTTTCCTTTGTTTTGACTTAACAGCTTATATTTTCTGCATCAGTTTCTTCTCGTCTTACTTTTATTTTTGTTTCGTTTGCGTAACAGTTTCCCCCCATTTCCTCACTCACTCGTGTGTGAGGTTTTTTTCCCCTTTCTGTACCCCTCTTATTTTTTTTCCTTTCACAACATTTCACCTTCTTGGGCTTTCTGAATTATTACTTTTGGATTGCTAAACACACACACTCATTTCCTAAGGACTCCGTGTGCATAATTTTCTGGTTTTCCTTCCTTGCCTCTGCTTCTTCCTTTCCCCACCCATCTCATTTAATTCCTCTTAACATTTCATGCAACCCCCCCTTTTCATTTTGAAACTGTCTCTTTCCTTTCCAGTTCCTCTCTCTATAATACTCCACTGCGCCTTTGCAACTCCAGCTCCTGCATATGGATACTCTGTGGTTCAACCAAAGAGGGAACACGGTGCAGGGGAAAAAGGAGGCTGAGATGAATTTTGAGTAGAAGAGGGATGCTGACAGGACACACACAAAAATGGTGGGAGTGGGGGAGGGGAGGGAGCTGCTGAAGAGGGAAACCTGAACGGAAGGAGTATGGGAATGGGGAGGGAAATAAAAAAAGGGGGGGAGGCATGTGGTGGAAAAACTGTAAGAGGAAAATGGCAATGAAAAAAGGGATATTACTAAATGTAAGATTGAATAGAAAGAGAAGGCTTGAGGGGGAAATCTTGCGGTGTTTCTGGCTGCTCAGCTCAAACTATTTTCGCTCTCCCTGTAAAATTTAATCCTGCTTTAACCCCCCTCCCCCAGTTTCGCTTCAGCTACAGGAAAAGGCTGTTGCTCAGTGCGGTAAATGAGCCTACTTTTCAGGCAGAAGACCGCAGTATCAGTCTATGGGCGTAGCCAAGGGGAGGCAGGGGGAGCAGCTGCCCCCCATCAAGTAAAACAATAGAAGTACTTAACTGACCAATCACATTGGTCCTTCCCCGCCCCCCCCAACAAAAGTTCTGCCCACCCCCTAACAAAGTCCTTCCCCCCCCCCAAAAAAAAATGCTGGCTACACCCATGTATCAGTCCCTGGTAGGACTGGAAGTCTTCCTGCCTGAAATCCTGTTGCCAGTTGATGCAGGGCATCAGTCTTCAAGTGGTGGGTTGGGCACCCACTACAGAACCACAAGCTGATCTAAAGTGGGTTGGAACTTTGGCACGACTGCCATACAAATATATGGTAAAAACGAAGAAGATGGTACTGGGCCTCCCAAAATCCATGTTTGGTTGAAAGATGGGTCCTAAGTTTGAAAAAGCTGGAGGCTACTGGTATACTGACCTAGGTGGACCAAAGATCTAACTTGAGCTAAGGAAGAATTCCTGTTTTCTCCCTCTCTTTCTCTCTGCCTGTCACCAGCCTCTTTTCCTGTCACACAGTAGTAAATTGAGTGATGGGGGAGGACTTCCGCTCCTGTCCTTTGCAGGGGAAAAGGTGGGGCAGGAAATGACATTCTTGTTAGACTGGGCTAGTCCCACCCGTTTCCCCTGGGGCATTCAAAGGTTTAAGGAAGGGCATTCTGTGAGGCACAACGGGAAAAAGTTTCACTGTGCCTGCAGGCAACATTGCAATATGGGTTCCTGTGAAGCCAATGCATGGATTTCCTCATGGCACTGCCCCCCCCCTAGTTTTCCCAATCTGAAGCAAGTTTTAGCACCCACTATGTCAGAATTCCCTTGAGCAAAAGATGAATTATATCCTTGGATGCTATAAATGCAATCACAACATGGACCCATCTTACACAGAGGGAAGAGAAGGCAGCAAGGACTTTTGAAGGGTAAGGAGCAGATGCTTGTTTGACTGCTCTCGTGCCATAGCTATGAAAAGGGATGAGAAGAAAGATACTGCTGAATCAGCTTTAGACAAAGAGAGAGAGAGAGAGAGAGTCCTGATTCTCTTTTTCCGCATGTCCCCCCCCCTTCCTCCCCCCACTGCAGAGTCAGCACCAGCTGCAGTTAAGTTCACCTTCATGCATTGCTTCGGAAATCAGAATCCAGCACTGGTTTCTGATTTTCCTGCCATTTGTCAAGTGGCCTATCTACAGCACCACCATATTTGCACTCCACCCCATCTATTCTTTCAGAGGTCCACAATCATCACCTATTGCAAGAGAGCACCCCCTGTTTCAGTGAGTAGCCCTTCACTTCTGGGAGTCGTTTCTGTGCCAAAGGAGAGTTAGGGATGAGGTGTCGTCTCCAAGCCAGAAGGCTGTGGAAGGAAGTGATACATCAGAGCACTGTATGCAATCCTACAAATTATTGCTTTACAAATAACATGTTTCTGGTCCACTTGACCTCATCGAGCTAAGGAAACATTGTAGTGACAGATAGCCTACACTTCTGTTTCCCATTTGGCAGATGCCAGCTTGGTGGCAAGACCACTGTGGAGGTAGAGGGAGCTCTATTTGGTGTGTAGGGTCTCACTTTCTCTGGCCACCCTAATAGAACCATAGAATCATAGAGTTGGAAGAGAACCCCTGGGGTCATCTAGATCAACTAGTTGTTATGCAGGAATCTCAACTAAAGCATCCATGACAGATGTTGTTGTTGTTTAGTCGTTTAGTCGTGTCCGACTCTTCATGACCCCATGGACCAGAGCACGCCAGGCACTCCTGTCTTCCACTGCCTCCCACAGTTTAGTCAAACTCATGCTGGTAGCTTCGATAACACTATCCAACCATCTCATCCTCTGTCGTCCCCTTCTCCTTGTGCCCTCCATCTTTCCCAACATCAGGGTCTTTTCCAGGGAGTCTTCTCTTCTCATGAGGTGGCCAAAGTATTGGAGCCTCAGCTTCAGGATCTGTCCTTCCAGTGAGCACTCAGGGCTGATTTCCTTAAGAATGGATAGGTTTGATCTTCTTGCAGTCCATGGGACTCTCAAGAGTCTCCTCCAGCACCATAATTCTGCTTAAAAACCTCCAAGGAAGACACCAAGTGTGTTCTGACCAAGTCAGAACAGAGCACAACTATTACTTCCCTTGATCAGGACACCATAGTTCTGTTGCTGCAGCCTAGAATAGCATTAACTTTTTTTTGCTGCTGTATTATACTACTGACTCATGTTAAGCTTGTCGTCCACTAAGACCCCAAGCTCATTTCACATGTACTACTGGCAAGTCAGGTGTCCCCCATCTTATATTGGTGCAGCTGGTTTTTCCTGCCTAAGTGTAGAACCTGGCCTTTGTCCCTGCTGAAGTTCATTTTGTTAGTTTTGGCCCAGTTCTCCAATCTGTTAAGGTCACCTTGAATCCCGATTCTGTCTTCTGCAGCATTGGCTACTGCTCCCAGTTTGGTATCATCTGCAAATTTGATGTGCCTCCCCTCAATTCCTCCACCCAAGTTGTTTATAAAGAGGTTGAACAACAATAGGCCCTGGACAGAACCCTCTGGCACTCTACTTGGCACTTTTTCCAGGTTGATCAGGAACCATTAGTAAGCACTCTTTGGGTTCTGTTAGTAAACCAGCTACAAATCCACCTAGTACTTACCTCGTCCAGCCCACATTTTACCAGCTTCTCTGCAAGAATATCATGGGGGACTTTGCCAAAAGCCTTACTGAAATCAAGCTAAACTACATCCACAGCATTCCCCTGATCTACCAGACTTGTAACTCCATCAAAAAAAGAAAGAAATGAGATTCATCTTGCATGACCTGTTTTTGAGAAACCCATGCTGAGTCTTAGTAATGACAGCATCTTTTGCTAAGTGCTCACAGACCAACTGTTTCTTCCCTGGTACTGATGTCAAGTTACCTGGGTCGGTAGTTACCTGTGTCTTCTCCCCCCCCCCTTTTTGAAGATAGGTACATTTGGCCGCTTCCAGTCTGCAGTTGGGTTGTACCAATCTTAGCCCTAAATCTATAATTTTCAAATTAGGGGGAGGGAAGAGAAGGCACTCACTCCTCAACCTTCCATTAATCCCATAATAAGTCCCACCCCATTATTTCCAGTTGTCCAATGCACTCAATCATTGCTGCCCTTGTCAAGCTATATTGAGTTTGGGAACCTGTGTTTCATCTGTTGTTGTTGTTGTGATATTTATTTATTTATTTATTTACCGGTATTTATTTATTTATTTGCAGGGGGAGGGAAGCTCTGGAAATGCAAGCAGTTGCTCAGAAAGCAGATGGGTGCAACTTTCAGGACTGCTGCCACTCATGTCCCTCCCTACTAGGGCCTCAGGTTTTTTTTAAATAACTGGACTGTTGTGAGCCAAGCTTCCATAGCAATACCAGATCAGGGAGGTGGTGGGTCCATAAATGTAGAGATTTAACAAAAATGGCAACTCAGAATGCAGGAAGGAAAGAATACAAAGGATGGCTTCTGATTCCAAAGTGCAAATAAAGAGAGGAGAGCAGAGTGTGTGGCTCAGAGGTTCGGTCAGGTCAGCAGCAATAGCCATCGCCAAGCAGCAACATAGGTGCAGTGATGATGGCTTCTTGTAGGAGGACAGCTTTGCAGCTAACGGTTGTAAGGTGTCAGTCTCCTCTTTTTTCCATTTTCCAAATAGATTTGATAGGCTTGGAAATCTGCTTGACATAGGACCTGCAATTTTTCCTTTGCAACTGGACATCTAGTCTCCGTGGGGCTGGGGCTGTGCAATAAATAAATAATTGCCTGAAATGGGAGGCAGAGAGAGAGAGAGAGACGGGGGTGTGAGGAATTTATAGAGGTCATGGGGCAACTGCAAGCAAAGTTGCCAACTTTCCACTGGTCACTGTAGTAGTGCTTTTAACAGCAGTTTGATATACAGACTTCAGCAGGTGATGGTGTCAAGTTTCCAGGTTTTGAAAAGCATTATTTGCTCATTTTTGCAAATCAGGTTGATGCTCAAGGCATGAGAGCAAGCCAGCCAATGGTGCAGCAAGGTTGTAGACAGGAAAACAGAGCAGGCCCAGGCTGGCTTCTGGGCCCTCAGGTTTCCTGGCATAGGTCCCCATCAGACAAAGCAGATATTGAACCATCCTCTTGGTTTGTTTTCACAAAATTTGTGCAGAGGTTCTATGACGTCACCATCAAGTTGTTACCCTGCTCTTCCCATTGCAGTTTTCCACCTCTGCTCTTACAATTCAGAAACAAATGTAATGAATGCAACAAGCACCAACTTAACTTCTTACTGCTCAACCCTGTGCATGTTTCCTCAAAAGTAAGTCCCACTAAGTTCAGTTGGAATTACTTCCCTAGTAAGTAGGCTTAGAACGGAAGCCCACTGTACTCAATTAGACTTATTTCTGAGCAGACTTCTAACATTATTATTATTATTATTATTATTATTATTATTATTATTATTATTATTATACTGCCCTTCATCGGAAGATGGCAGGGTGGTTCACAACATAAAAATACAAAATGAGAACAGAAATTACATTAAAAAAAACCCCAAGACAGACTGATAACCCTCCCTCCCACAAACACATTTAAAAGGACACAGAAAGTTCATCAGCCCAAGACTTGGTTAACAGAACTGTACTATAAATCAAATCTGAATAAATGTGCATATAAGGCGGGGGTGGGGGAATGGGCTGCATCCAATTAGTCATATTCAGAGATGACCCACTGAAATTAATGGGCATTACTAACGTAGGTCCATTAAGTTCAGTGGGTTTACTCGTAAGTAGAACATAGTTGGATACAGCCTAATACAAACTTTGTTTTTACATGATGTTAATCGGGGGGAGCTTTTTTTAGTCAATCAAAATGTTTTAATTGAGTTTACCTGATTGATTGATTGATTCAGCATTGCAGCCCTAGGTATAAGCATGTTATTTAAAAGTAACACACTTGAATTTATGGAGTAGGGAGTAGTGTTCCCTACACCTCCTCCCAAAGTATTATTTGATAAAATATCCCCCATTCAGGATGCTCAATTTTCTAAAGGGTTATGGTGGCTGTTGTTCTTAATGCTACCAATCATACATCTCAAGACGATTCACAAAAAGCAAACCCATGACTAAGTGTCTAAAGCAGAACCATGACAACATGCAGAATCCATACATGGGCAGTTTGAACGCAGGATCATATCACAGCAAGGAAAACTGAAGCACAATCCAATGTATGTTTACCCGGAAGGAAGTCTCACTATGTTCAGTGAGGGCATACCCCCAGGTATGTCTGCATTGGATTACAGCATAAGGCATGTTTTGTTGTTGTTTTTAAAGTATTGCAGGGTGTGTGTGGACTTCTCACACATCAAGAAAGTGCCAGTGGACTAGGAATCATGGCCCCAGCAACTATTGCTCCTTTCTGTATGGGCAACCACCTGTGTCTTCATCCATTGCAGTACAAGACACAAAACGCTCCAGCAGGAGAACCTGTCCCTAGAGATGCAGCAATGCGGGGAAAACTTCAGCTATGCATTTCTTGAGTGTCACGAAGCTCTTAAAGACACAGGAGTTTGTCCACTAAAATTAAGGCAACTGTCAGCTTCTCGGTAATCTCTGTCCCACTTCACATGAATTTCACACGGACGGCTGAGATGATCGCCTACGGTGAAGTTGTTCGCTCCTCACTGCAAAATCACCTTTGCATCATTCAAACAAAACACACTTTATTTATTATAAAGGATTTATACGTCACCTTTCTGATACCGATGTATCAGGCGGCATCACTTGAGTTCTTTTGACGGGTGACTCAAACACCCACCCACCCCACCCTGATTGAATGTGTGTACCAAATCCATTGGGGGGGGGGTAAACATTGCTCTGAGATGATAGGAAAGGTGTATCAATCTTGTCTGGTATCGAATGGCTCATTCACACAGGCAAGCGAACCCTTGCAGTCATCAAAGGATAGACTTGCCCTCTACACCTCTCCATCAATCCAAGTTGATCTGTGTTCCTCTCCCTGCGAGCTGAGGCTGTTCTTGGGGAGGAAGGGAAACCATAGAGAAAATGTAGCAAATTCCCTTTAGGTAAGGTTGGTGGGCCTGCCTCTGAGAGGCTTTCTGTGCCTTTAAGAGTAGAAAAAGCCACACCCAGTAAGAATTTCTCTCCCATGCAAGCCTTGAAGGTACAGGTGGATTCTGAGTCTAGATCTGGCAGCCCTGCACTTGGGGCTCTCTGTTGAACAAACAGTCATGCTAGAAACCAGAAAGAGTTGAGAGAAGCGAGGGAAAACGTTTTGCTTTTGCCGTTTTAAGTAATCTGCCATCTTTGGGGAGGGCAGAGCTTTCTCCTGTGGCTTTCACAGGTGCATGAGGACAAACAAAAATTCAACAGGTGAAGCCTTCGCCACCACTGTGAAAAGCTGCACCTGTTCAACTTCCACCCACCACAGAGTGGTTAAAAGTGCAAGAGCCCCACAGGAGAGGGGGTGAGGGGTGGCATATTTAATAGTGTCGTGATGAATTTTGGTACTGAAAGCATTAAAACATCTCTAAGCCTTGCTTCCTTCCCCCCTGTGCATGGATACAAACAACCCTTGGGATGGAAGAAGTCATATAAGGGCTAAAAGCCATCTTGTACATTTACACAGACTAAGGAGAATGGGAATAGGGGCATTTTGTCAGCGGCATTAAAGCTAGAAGAACCGTTTTGGAATAAACAGACGTATACCGATATGTGTGGCACACTCAAAGGCAAAGTATTAGTTTTTATACCAATTAAATAATTTTCTTTCCCTCTTGTGAAAGCTCTCTGCCGCACCTGGGCGGAGGAAGTGGAAATATTCTGGTGGTGCTTACAAGACTTAAATTTGCACACACAGAGAGACATCTTGGAAGCAGCTGAATATTTTATTCCCTATAAGCGTCTAAGGTTAAATATGGAATGCAACTTTTGGAACACGGGGAGGAGAGTGCCTGCCACGGTGAGAAAAGTGGATCCTGTGATCATGGAGGCAGAATTGGTGCAGCTGGTCTGGAGAGGTGGCACTGATTCAATTTTCTTAGGCTGCATCCTAGAATTTTGGGGTGAATGGGGTTGGGGGGGAGGGGAACCTAAGGGGAGGGGGAGGGGATTAATTAACCAACAAAGGAACCTTTTTTAAAAAAAGAAAAAAAATAATTAATTACAAGAAAATTGTTATTAATGGTTATTAATGATTATTATTATTATTATTATTATTATTATGGTTAATAAAAATGTCCCGACCCCAGTCCTCCTTGCTATGGAGGTGGGACTGGGCCAAAAAAACAATCCATTATTTACTCTGTAATATAATGTAAATAAGACTTCAATAAACTTTATTTCAAACAAAAATATCTCCTCTTCATGACCATAGAAACAGAGTTCCCTGTGAGATAGGGTCTAGATGGATTGATAGGTATCAGAGTATAGATTAGGCTACTATAAAACTCATATTATGAGCTGCAATGATTGCTTCCTCACCAGGCAGGAATGGGACTCTGGGAGAGACTGCCTGAATTCCTTGAGAGCCACTGCCACTTTGCATAGACACTTCTGAGCTAAATGGACCAGTAGTTTGACTTTCCAGCTGTAAAAGCTTCCTTTCCAGCTGTAAGAGGGGGATCACTCTGTGTGTGCTCAGAGGCACTATCATCTTTATTATTATTGCTTCACACATTTTAGGGCCGAGGTGGAAGGACCCCCTGACTGTCTGAGAAAAGGGAACAATAAAGTGATGGGCATTGTGATGGAGCGACAGGATCCAAGCTGGGATAGCTCAGTCGGTAAAGCATGAGACTCTTAATTTCAAGGTTGTGGGTTCAAGCCTCATGTTGGGCAAAAGGTTCCTGCATTGCAGGGGGTTGGACTAGGTGACCCTGGTGGCCCTTCCAACTCTACAGCTCTATGATCTCCAGTGTCCCCAGGGTGCAAGAAGGTTCAAGGAGCCAGTGTAGTGTAGTGGTTAGAGTAGACTGGAGACCAGAGTTCAAATCTCCACTCAGCCATGAAGCTCACTGAGTGAAGATGGACCAGAGGACAAGGCTGGAAGGCAGGAGAACTCTAGATCTTTCCCCATTCCTTATGGGTGCGTTTCCCTGTGACTCCATTTCCCCAGTCTCCATCAGGAACCAACGATGTCAATATAAGAGAGCTAATGGGCTACACTAACCTGAGAAAGAGAAGGGAAGGCCTAGCGATAAGAGCACCCTCCTCCTCCTGGCAAATGCGGAATGGGTTAATGGTCACCATGGCAATGAGCTGGGAATATGGTACCTTGGATGCACACGTGGCAACGGAGGAACTGGCAGAAACTGTGCCGCATAGAGAAGACGGGAGGGGGGGAATGGAGGGGGATTGTGGAATCGGGAAGGATGCAATGAATGTGGAGTGTGCAGGGAGAGTGAGGATTCACTTTCATGAGGGAAGAGAGCAGAAGAGAAATAATAGGAGGAGGAAATTCAGGAGCAGCTGGTGCAGGCAGCTGAATAAAGCAAATGTGTTTGGAGGAGTGTGAGATTTTGGGGTACAGGATCAGTGGCGGCGGGGAGAGTTCTGGAGAAGGGGAAAGAGATGAAAAGAAAAGGCTAGGAGGAGGAGGTGGGTAGATTGCGGCTGCAGCTAATAGGAGGAGGAAATCAAATGCAGAGGGGGGCGTGGAGAAAAGGGAAAGGAGGAAAAACAAGCTGGGGCTGCAGAAAAGGGGAAAAAATGCGGCAAGAGGAATAGGAGGAACACGGGGTGGGGGAGAGAAGTCTGGGAGACCAAAAGGAG